GACGATCCGGATACGCCCCTTCCCCGCCCAGCGAGCGACCGGCTGACGCACGCTCCCAAGGCCGCCGGGCGGATTGTAAACGCCGCAGCCTGCCGGCCAATCAAGAGGCCTCAGGGTCGCCAGGACACGCCCCCCACGCCTGCCGCCAACTCAAGCATTTACGTAACACTCAAGGGGCCGCTCTACCCGCCTCGCGCTGGAACTCTTCGGTAGGTTAGCCGGAGACCGCGGCAGTCTCGGGACGCTGTTCCGGTCCCGAGGTCCCTGCATGTGACCCTGGCCGAGGCGCTGGAGTAAGCCGCGGCTTGTGGCTGCTTCCCTGTCCGACGCGGAAGTGCAGAGCTCGGGGTCAAGTGGCTGGGGCTGAGCCCGCGCTGGCCCGGTGCTTGGGGCACCTTGAGGTACTTGGGCCTGAACTCAGGACCTTGCACTCGACCAGTGGTGTCACTAAGCTACATCCCCAGCCCCTTTCTCTCCTTATTTACAAAAGCTTTGTTTCCATTATTTTCCTTCTCTTCGCTTGTTTGTTCTTATTCCTTCATTACTTTCCCTCTTCCTCCCTTGTTCCCAAGACTTGAGAGGCACTTGGATATTTTTCACATGCCAAATATTAAATATTAAAAGATATATATGAGACTGGGAAATTTAAAAATAACTACATATTAGGTGATTTTTAAGAAATTAACCTTTGTATCTAGGCGTGGCGGCCTGTAATTCCTAGTCACTTGGGAGGCAGGACTGCTGCAAGTTCAAGGCCAACCTGGGCTACATAGGGAGTTCAAGGCCAGCCTGGAGTACATAGCGAGACCCTGTCCCCGCCGCAAAAGAAAAAAAATTAACCTTTGTAGTTGTACTTGTTATTTAAAAGTCTCTCTCAGATTCATACAGAAGTATTTAGCGACAAAATGTCTGGTTTGTTTTAAAATAATTTTGGGAGGAACAGAGTAGATGAAACAAAATTGATCATATTGATAGTTACGAAACTTGTCAGTACATGAGGAATTTTTCATATCACATACAAATTTTGTAAATGTTTGACATCTTCATAATAAATTATTTTATATCTGTGTCTTTTTGTCTCTGCCTTCATGTGGTGGACTTCCACATTTTGTTAGTTTTTGCTCATTCTTCAAAACCCTAAATAATAGACTAGATGAAACCTGAAAAATTTAAGTGGATAGAGATGGTGCTGAAACTTAGTAGTACTACTGTTTTTTTTTTTTTTTTCTTTTGGTTGTTTAGTGAGACAGGATGTTGCTATGCAGTTCAGGCTGGCCTTGAACTCACTGTGTAGCCCAGGCTGGTTCAAACTCATACTTAGCCTCCTGTCTCAGCCTCAGGTGCTGAGATTAAGGGTGTGCACTACCACATTTGGCTAAAAAATACAGGTTTTCAAACCTTCAGTCAAAACCTATA